GGTCATATGGCAGTTCTATTTCCAGCTTTTTAAGAAATCTCCACACTGTTTTCCATAGTGGCTGTACTAATTTGCATTCCCACCAACAGTGTAAGAGGGTTCCCTTTTCTCCACACCCTCTCCAGCATTTATTGATGATCTTCGTTTTTTGAATGTTGAGTTTCAAGCCAACTTTTTCACTCTCCTCTTTCACTTTCATCAAGAGGCTCTTCAGTTTCCTCTTTGCTTTCTGCCATAAGGGTGGTGTCATCTGCATATCTGAGATTATTGATATTTCTCCCAGAAATCTTGATTCCAGCTTGTGCTTCATCCAGTCTGACTTTTTGCATGATGTACTCTGCAAGTAAGTTAAATAAGCAGGGTGACAATATACAGCCTTGATGTACTCCTTTCCCAATTTGGAACCAGTTTGTTGTTCCACGTCTGGTTCTAACTGTTGCTTCTTGACCTGCATACAGATTTCTCAGGAGGCATGTCAGGTGGTCTGGTGTTCCCACCTCTTTAAGAATTTTCCACATTTTGTTGTGATCCAGACAATCACAGGCTTTGGTGTAGTCAATAAAGCAGAAGTAGATGTTTTTCTGGAACTCTCTTGCTCAGCTTTCTTTTATTTATCTTCTTCAGTGTATCTTTATGTAAAACATACAGCCTTAGGTGCTCAGCCTTCTTTATATTCTTCAATGTATCTGTTTGTAAAACAGTTTTGCACATGGTGTTGAGGACAGTAGCAGTTCCAATAAGTAGCACTCCTCTTCTCTGCCCAAATTCTTACCAGTTATGAAACAGGAAAAAAAGTATAAATATATGGGAACCAAATTATAACCTTAATTACCGATAGAGACTAGGTTGGAAGATTTGGCTTATATCTGTGAACAAATGAACTGAATATTACAGAACCCAGAATGAAGTAGATTTATCTACCCAGAAAAACAGAGCAAAACTTTCTTCCCAGCTGGAAGCTCACATCTAAGAGAGAAAAGGGAAAAGCTGAGCAAATATTATTTGCTTAACTTTTCCCAAATTTACCCATTAGATAGGTACTCCTCTCTCTACCAGTGTTACATTAATTGAGCTTTCCCTACATGGACGGAAACATCAGTACTAACAGAGAACCATCCTCTCCTTTTACACACAATGCATACTATGATATTTATCATATTTGCCTGTTTGAACTGGAAAAAGAATGATATTGCAGATAAAGGGTCGAATTCTTTGGAAGCCAGCTCATTTCTTTCTGCTTGATGATGCTTTCTGTGTGACCCCAGTTCTGAGCAATAATTTTGTTTGTAACTCTGGGACAAAGGGAAGATATTTGTGGGTTTAGCTGGAAAGAGGACTTAGTAGAGTGGAGAAGGTGGTGTGGTGATCCTTCTACCCATCTTTTGATTGCTTCTTTATGTCTTTAGTTGTGCAAAAATCTTTTCTGCTATTCTTCAGATTCTCATAGATAGCTGCTCTGTAAGTAGTGGTAATTTTGGTGTGTCAAGGAAGGAGATGAGTTCAGGGTCTTTGTATTCTGCCATCTTGGCATGTCTCTCTAGCACTATTGCATTTTAATAATGTGGAATGTTATTGAAGTTTGTCTAGCTTTGGAGGATTTTGTTAAATCATAAGATTTTTGTTTGTTTGTTTTAATATAAAGTGCCCACTATTAACACTCTGGCTTCTTCCCCTTGGACTGTTCCCTGAAGGCACAATTACTCATTCTTTTCAGGGCCACAGTCCTGATCAGATTCTGTGTGATCCTTGCCCACCTGGCTGGTTTTCCTGCCAGATTACAAGCCCCTGGTAATTTTAGGCCTTGTTCATTCTTTTCTCTGTCCCCTCTGGTGAATGGCTCCAAGCAGACACTCTCTTGCCTTTGGTGGCCTTGTACCCAGCCAGCTGTGGTGAGATCCATAGTAGGTTCTTAAAACATGGAGTCTGTTTCGGCAGGGTTTGTGTCTGGGGCTGATGGAGGGGGTGCTGAGGCAGTGTGGGAGCCGTTTGCTGTGTGGACACAGCAGTGAGGTCTGCTTAGGCCTCTATCCGCAGCCTTCTAAACTGTCAGTGTACAAATGCAGACTAAGGGCAATGCATACATGATGGTACAAGATGTAGAAGTCATGAGATTAATATTTTTTATAGTAAGCATTGTTTTAGATAGTCTTTCTAAATAAAAGTTTGTAGAGATATATGATCATAAATCTCACAATGAAAGGTCATCAGTCCCCCTGATTTTAATAATGGAAATCTGATCAGAATTTTTTCTTGTTGCATATTTTTCTCTTAAAGGCTTGGGAGAAGTTGCTGTTTGGAGTTTGCTTTTTTCATGCCCTTGTGCAGGAGCGAAAGAAATTTGGTCCTCTTGGATGGAATATTCCATATGGATTTAATGAATCCGACTTACGTATCAGTATTCGACAACTCCAGGTAAAATGAGAAAGACTGATATTGATGGGGGAATCACTGTGTACCAGGCCCTAGGCAATTCGCTTTGCTTAGAATAATTTATTCACTTCTCCCAGCAACACGAATAGTCAGCTGGATGGCAGTAGTAATTATAATTTTGGCTTACAAAAGATATTTTTCCATCTGAGTTTTTCTGCCACAAATAATGGGAACCCTGATTCAAACTGGCTTAATCCATAATGAAACTTTTTATCCTACGTGAAAAAGAGTTGCAGAGGACAGGCAGACTCTGGAGTGGGTTTTTCAACAAAGTGTTGCTATCAAAGACCCTAGTTCTTTCTTTTGGCAGTGCCCTCCTCAGTGTTGGCTTTGTATAGGTCCTCACTATACTCTCCTCTTAGCTTCCTCTCAGTCAGATCTACAATTTACCTCTATCAGTCAACAAAAACAGTAGAAAGGAATTTATTGAAAGAATTTTGTGCAGGTCACAGAATCACTAAGATGGCTGGACAGCCATGGCATCCAGTGTCATATCCAGAATCATACCATGTCTGGTAAGAGCGTTCCTTCTACCCCTGTTACATATTAGCCACTGCAGCTCTCCTAGGTGCCACTGAGACTTTCATCTGCTGCACATTCTCTGATGTCATCAAAAAAGATCTTTTGCTGTCCCTGATTCTCTGCACACTGAACTCCAGTCCGGCATGGCTGCATCTGAGATTCCAAGCCCAGGCCACAGGCCTCGGCTTTAGCCATAAGGGGACTGAGAAAATGAGTGATCAGTATTTTTCAGTATCTGTAGACTTGCAGTGAAACATGAGATGCATGAGCTGGTTAGCATCCTCCAACAAACAAAAGAACAAATGTCCGCTATAAGTTCCTACTCACTCAGACTTTGAACTAGGCACATTACTTACATTATCTGCATGAATTCTAATCCTCACAGCAACACTGTCTGGTGGGTATTATCCCTGTTTTGGAGAAAACCAAAGCTAAGAAGTAAATTTACCCATTGAGGTAGGATTTGAACCTCAAGTCTGTCCAACTCCAGTACTTTCCCATCATTTCTATGATGTTTACCAACCATATCAATCCAACTAGAGAACCACAGGATACTGTATATTCTGCCTCTCTGCTGTGATAAGGGCCTTAACAACTGAGGCTTTAAAACAACCTTGATGATAGTTCTTCCAGCCCCACTTCCGTGTGTATAGATTGATCAGTGATTGATTGATTGATTGATTGATAGGTATTTAAAGCCATGTTAAAATGGAAATGAACTGAAATACACTATGGTTTTTCTCATTTCATTTTTGCTTTGTTTCAGTTATTTATCAATGAATATGATACAATTCCGTTTGAAGCGATCTCTTACCTGACTGGAGAGTGTAACTATGGAGGAAGAGTGACAGATGACTGGGACAGACGTCTCCTCTTAACCATGCTGGCTGACTTTTATAACCCACACATAATCGAAAACTCTCATTATAAGTTTTCTCCTAGCGGAAACTATTTTGCCCCTCCCAAAGGCACTTATAATGACTACATTGAATTCATTAAGGTAACTGATATCACTGAAAATAGGGTTAGATTCAAGTGTGATTTTCTTAAAAGCAAATAGTGAAGTAGTCCCCCATAATGTATAGAATTAGACAAGTATTAGGTACAATCAGCTTTCAATACACTGTTTTTGTTTCTAGTAGTTACTGAAAATTGGAAAGGTTTGATCCCTCTGTTGTTTGATGTTTAGTTGATTTTTAACCCTTTTCGATCTGCACGTATGTACCTTATGAGTTAAAGTACCCAATTAAACTGTAATGCTTGTTGAATTTATTTTCCGGTAGAAACTTCCTTTTACTCAACACCCTGAGATATTTGGATTACATGAAAATGTTGATATCTCCAAAGATCTTCAGCAAACGAAAACCCTCTTTGAGTCCTTGCTCCTCACCCAAGGAGGCTCCAAACAAACAGGATCCTCAGGAAGCACTGACCAGATTCTACTAGAAATTACCAAAGATATTCTCAACAAGGTAATATTTAGCTTAAAATGTGTTACTTGGAATATAACATAAATCAAAATGGGACTGAAATGTCAATCTGAAAACTCCAGGTAGCAATGTTGTGCCTGAGTAAGATACTTTCCTTTTCTGAACATTAGTTTGCAAACTGGAGAAGTGGAGATAATAGTACCACCTGTGTAAGGTTCTTGTGAACATTCAGGGTATTATTAATTTGAAGTACTTTGCATAATGCCTGGCAAATATTAAGTTCCTAGTAACTAGAGTTGTGGAGCTACTGAATATATGATTTCTTATCATTTCTAAATAAAAATGGTGGACCTACTCTTTTTTTAAATGGGGGAAACTGTCTGAACTTGCTGGTTCAAGAATGGAATGCTTTTGAATCTATACCTTCAGAAGTGAGGAGGCACAGGGAGGTTGAGAGCAGCACTAAATTAGCAGCTACAGCTCCCCCCCACCCACCATACTGCATTCCAGTGTACTTAGCCCTGGTAGAATGGAGCGGTGCTCTCTTTTCTCACTTTTTGCTGCCTTAAACTGAATAAAGAACTACTAAGAAGGAAGTGGCAACCCACTCCAGTGTTCTTGCCTGGAGAATCCCAGGGACAGCGGAGCCTGGTGGTCTGCCATCTATGGGGTCGCCCAGAGTCAGACACGACTGAAGCGACTGGGCAGCAGCAGCAGCAAGAGGACTTTATAGCCCCAAGCACAGATCTTCACAACTCCTCTCCAGGATGAGTACTATAATTATCCCGTATTTCAGCATCAGGCACTCTGACAGAGCACAACCTGACCTTGCTCCATCTGCCTTGTAAGTCCACGGATGGCACCGAGTCTGCTCTCCCAGTTGGTACCCTTGCCTTACGCCACTCCTGAAGCAGAGCCTACTCAGACTTGGAAGCTTAAGTCTGGCTGTGGCCACTGGAGATAAGCAGTGAGCAGCACTGCCTGCTGCCCTAGGGCGAAAGCAAACTGACGTTCTCCCGCCTCTACCTGTGGACTGCTACCTCTCACCCCCAGGCCCTTCTGCTTGTGTGATTTATCTCTCTGGGGAAAGGTTCTTGTCCTCCCAAAAGGCTGGCTCTTACACGACCCCAATAGGAAGTCACCTGGCAGTGGCACATGGGACTTAATTGGGGTAGAATGGTTGTGCTGACCAACCATTGGTGTCATACTTTGAATGATGCCACCTAGTGTGACTTAGAATTCTTTTGTGCCAACAAGGGCCATCACCTGGGGACAGTCTGGGTGCTCAACTTTTTAGTTTGGCACCTTCCTCATAGGGAAATTTCTCATAGGGGAATTCCTCTAAGAGTGCAAATGCCAGTGTCAGGGGGCTTGCTCACAGCCCCCAAATCCTCGTTATCACTTCTTCTCAACCATCTCTGAGATGCATCATTAAAATCAGATACTCGATGACTTTCTTTCTCCCTAAGCCCTGGAACCTTGCTACACTTACACATTATATTATTTGGTTGTGGTATAAACAAAGCTATTTTGAGCCTGTTGATAATTTATTGAAATAAATATAAAACAGTTGTGAAATGATATATCAGTTTTATTAATGGAAAATAAAATCCGATTTACAAAAGAAAATTACACAACTTTTTAGAAAGGTATATCTTCTACTCAGTGCTATATCCTATAGGAAAGAGCGTGGGCCTTAGTGTTAGAGACCTATGGATTTAAACAGACTGCCTCTGAATTGTGTACCTTTAGGCATTTATTTCACCTCTGTATACTTAAATGTTCTCATCTGTAAAATGGAGATAATTATGGCCACCTGAAACTGTATGGCAAGGATTACATAATATTTGGAAAGCACTTAGTATAATTCTTGGCACATAGTAAGTGCCTAATGTTAACTATTACTGATATTATAGCTGAATGAAACTTCATTTTGAGAGTAATATGTGATCTTCAAATTTCATCCTCTTAGCTACCAAGTGACTTTGACATTGAATCAGCACTGCTCAAGTATCCTGTGAGATATGAAGAGAGCATGAATACTGTGTTAGTGCAAGAAATGGAAAGATTTAACAAGTAAGGAGCTCTACACCCAGTGATTCAGAAAGCTACCAACTAAAGTTGATGAAAAGATACACCAGTATTGAATCAAAATTTTAAGAAAAAATTATCAAAACTTGCCATTTCATTAGAAGTTGTCTCCTTTTTTAGAGTTGCATACTGCCCCAGAAGGGAGCATATCTTTTCTAATGTAAAAATGACAATGAAAAAAGAGATCTGCTATTACTGGTTAAAAATATTCATTAATCATAATTTTTCATCCATCCATTGCTCTTCTCCTCAGGAAATAAAGTTGGAATGACCATTATTTAAGCCTATATGTAGATACATATTTAGTCATTTTTCTGCCCACTTTCTTCCTAAATCTAATCTAGATTGGTTAGGTACCCTAAAATAGCAAGCAGATTATTTGCTTTGAATTTTTAAATTGAATTTTCTAAAGCTCAATATTGGCTTAAGGAATGAAGAATTGTTTTAGTTATTAATTTTCTAGTGTTTCCAAGTTTAACTTTCCAGACTTAATGACATTTTAAAATAAAACATATTAAAACCCTATAATGCCTTAATGAATTTAGTATCTCTTATACAAAGACCATCTAGACTTGCCTGGTGGCTCAGTTGTAAAGAATCTGCCTGCTAATGTGGGAGACATGGGTTTGACCCCTGGGTCAGGAAGACCCCCCGGAGAAGAAAATGGCAACCCACTCCAGTATTCTTCCCTGGCAGATCCCATGGACAGAAGAGCCTGGCAGGCTGCAGTCCGTGAGATCGCAAAGAATCAGACACGATTGAGCAACTAAACAATAACAACAATACAAAGACCATATGTGTTTGTACATAATAACATATTGTCTGTCAGTTGTTTAGGCTTATAGCATAAAACCCTCACTTGAGGTATATTTATGATGTTCTTAGAATTTGGGGCCTAAGTGGGAAGCAAAGTACTTATAAGGGTATGAATGAATATACACTTTAGATTTTTATTCAGTGTTTCCAAAGTTTCAACCATTGCATTACCCCTTTATAACTTTTCCCATATTTGCATGTCACCTGTAACATTATTTACCTGATGTTTTTCTTTAAATCATTCTCTGTTTAACTTATCCTGGTCTTAAGCAATAATACCCAGAAGGCAATTTTGATATGCAAGTTATATTATTTTCTATATTTAAAAGTGTATTTGTAATAATTAAAATGAAAAATGTTCATCCAAGTATCACCTAAAATTACCTTACATTATGAAGTGGGAGGTGACCACATTTTGGGAAATACTCCCATAAAGCCGTGAATGATATCCTGCTCTTTATTCTGGATAGACTGTATATTGATATTTATTATCATATATATGATGATGACACAATTGCTTTCCTTGCAGCTTAATTAAAACTATACGAAACACTCTACAGGACCTTGAAAAAGCTATTAGGGGTGTGGTCGTGATGGATTCTGCGTTGGAGGCACTGTCTGGCAGTCTGCTTGTTGGAAAGGTTCCAGAAATATGGGCGCAACGCTCATACCCAAGTCTTAAACCCCTCGGAAGTTACATCACAGATTTTCTAGCCCGGTTGAACTTTTTACAGGTTAAAAGTTATATATAATTTATACATACTATTTCATTTTTCTGTTTGTCTGAAGAGATACTAGAAATTGTCCGTGGTCACTTGAATGTCTCTGAGTTAGATGAAATGGATAAGTAGTTTCATGGTAATCTAACTGAAATTTTAGAGTATTGAGAAGTATATGTATTCCAAAGTGCTAAGTAGAAAATTAAAATTTTATGTTACCCAAACTCAAGTAATACGTGACAGTTATATTTCTGAAGATTCTGTTTGTGGTTTCTGTGACCACAACTTGGTCTTATGATTTTGATGTTGACACTAAATCACAAAAAGAGCCTGAGGCTTGAATCAATCAATAATTAGCCATTATATAGAAATCAGTGCATCTTATCTCTTATCTCATAAAGCCAGGGAAAAGGTGAGTGCTCTGAAATCTCTAAACCTTTCACCCCACTAACTCACAGGTGAAGGATATGTAGGCAGCACACTGTTTTCCTCCACAACTCCTCTGCTTCTCCCCATCCTGTGGTTGATGCTTACATGGGGGTAGTTGGTGGGGAGAGCCCCCAGAATACATTTTAGAAATTTATATATATGATTTTTCAGTTGCCCCTTTATTATATGAAAGCTCTATTTGTTTTACTACAGAAGCTAGTAATAAAACAGCCTTATTTGTGAAGATCTGGATAGAGAGGCTTTCTCATAAACATCCTTTTTTAATTTTTGCCAATCTGATAGGTCAGTCATAGCTTATTGTTTCAATTTGAGTTTCTTTGATTTTTAGTGAGTCTGTGCTTCTTTTTGTAAGTGTACTTGCCATTTGTATTAGTATTTTCTCCTGTGAATTGCTATTCATCTCCTTGATCAATTTTTCATTGGACTATTTTTGTTTCTTTTTATAGAAATTTTAAAGGTTACTTTCCATTTACAGTTATTACCAAATACTGGCTTTATTGTCCATGTTGTACCACTATCCTTGAGCCTGTCTTGCCACCCAACAGTTTGTGCTTCCCACTCGTCCATCCCTATATTGCTGCCCATCCCCACAACTGGCAACCACTAGTTCTCTATTTTTGTGAGTCTGCTTTTTTTTTTTGCTATATTTACTTAGTTTGTTGTATTTTTTAGATTCCATATATAAGTGATATCATACAGTATTTGTCTTTCTTTGTCTGACATATTTCACTTAGCATAACGTACTTCAAGTCCATCTTTGTTGCTTCAAATGGCAAAATTTTATTCTTTTTAATGGTCAAGTAGCATTCCATCGTATGTGTATAGCCTGTCTTTTTTTTTTTTTAATATATATATAGCCTGTCTTCTTTATCCATTCATCTATTGATGGACACTTAGGCTGCTTCCACATATTAGCAGTTGTAAATAATGCTGCTATGAACACTGAGGTGTATGAATCTTTTCAAATTAGTGTGTTTTTTTTCCCCCAATATAAATCCTAGAGTGGAGTTTCTGGGTCATATGTTAGTTCTCTTTTTAGTTACTTGAGAAACCTCCGTACTGTTTTCCATATGCCTGCATCAATTTACATTCCCATCAACTGTGTACAAGGGTTCCCTTTTCTTCACATCTTCGCCAACATTTGTTATTTATGTTCATTTTGGTGATAGCCATTCTGATAGGTGCAAGGTGGTATCTCATTGTGGTTTTGAACTTGCATTTCTGTGATGATTAGTGATGTTGAGCATCTTTTCATGTACCTGTTGACCATCTGTATCTGCTGTTTGGAAAAATGTCTGTTCAGTTCTTCTGCCCATGCTTTAATTGGGCTGTTTGTTTGATGTTGAGGTGTATGAACTACTTATATATGTTGGGTAAAAATCTCCTATTGGTCGTATCATTTGCAAATATTTTCTCCCATTCAATAGGTTGTTTTTTCATTTTGTTGATAGTTTCTTTGCTATGCAAAAACTTTTAAGTTTAATTAGGTCCCATTTGTTTATTTTTGCTTTTATTTCTTTTACTTTAGGAGACAGATTCAAAAAATACTGCTTTGATTTATGTGCAAGCATGTTCTGCCTGTGTTTCCTCTAGGAGTTTTATACGGTGTGGTCTTACATTTAGGTCTTTAATGAATATTGAGTTTATTTTTTTATATGGTGTTAGAGAATGTTCTAATCTCATTCTTTTACATGTGGCTGTCCAGTTTTCCCAGTAACACTTACTGAAGATGTTGTCTTTTCACCTCCTAATGATTCTTAGAATTAACAAATTAAACAAATGAGTGGTCTGGAGATTCCCTCCCCATCTTTTCTCATTTCTCTCTCACCGTTCACCTTGCTTATCTTCCCTTACCTCCAGCCTATGCCTTTTTTATTTTTTTTAAAGCTTTCTACACACCGGCTGGCATCTCAGATTAAATCCGGGATCCAACATTTAGTATGTATGTGACTTTGAAGAAGATACTCATCTTTTTGCACCCTGATTTCCTCATTGGCAAAATGGGAGGAATAATACCTAATTCACTGAATTATGGACCAAATGAGGTGATGCATGTAAATCAGCTAGCTCCTGGCATGCACTGAACACTCAGTAAATGGTAGCTAATCCAGAGATTTTATGGATATGTAAGTAGCTGACCCAGACATTCATGACATTCTTGGCTAAATGAGGACCTGAAGTGAGCGAAGGAGTGTTCTGTGTACTTGCTTTCTGGGTTCTTCCAGCTTTCCCTGCACGGTGCTCGCTCTGCCTGGCTTGTACCCTTACTGAGCTCCGTGGCCTTCTTTACCTCTTCTTGATCTGGCAGCTGGGACAATTGCAGCACCTCCAGCAGTGGTTTGTTCTCTTCTTCCCGGGAAGCAAAGCTGACTCCTTCCCATAGTGTGCTGCTCACTCAGAGACAAAGTTCATTTTATTGATTCATCTGTTCATTCAAATGTGAATTGAGACTCACTTTGTCAAAAGCATCTTGTCGTTAGACAGGGTTGCCAGGTTGCCTTCATTTTGCCAGTAGCCCTCAGAGGATAACCTATGTATCTAAGAAAAAGTTAATTCAGTATAGTAAGGGATGTGTCATAAAAGACCAACATGTAAAATGCTCTGGGAATTAAAAAAAGGGAGAGAGTTTTTTTAACATAAGAAAGCAGTTGGTTTTTGGGTGAGGTAGCATGTGAGCTGGTCTAAGGGATGAATGGTTTTGGACACTGCAAATAAAGGAAGAGGGCTTAGAGACACCTGTAGGATGAAAGACAGTATATCATTTAGGATTGATTATTCTGTGAAATTTTTGGTGAAAGCAAAAATTAAGTTCATTCCCTCATGTAACTGAAAAGTCCAGGGAGTAAAGTGACTCCATGCAGCTTTGACCTAGAGTGCAGATGCAGTTACCAGATCCTGGCATCTTGCACTTCGTTGCTTGGCTTCAGTCTCTGTGGGTTAACTCCACTCTATGTTCTTGTTTGATGGCAGCAGGAGTTCAGTAGAAGCTCTGGGTTCATATCCACAAAACTGTTTAGAGTGAACCATTTTCCTCAGAAGTCCCAGCAAGAGTCCGTACATCTCTGGCTTTGATTGGGTCACATGTCCATTCCCGAATCAGTCACTATGACTGGAGTATGATCAGCTTGGCATGAATCACATGCCCACTCCAGAAGGTGGAGCTCCACCACCAGAATGGTGTTTCAATTAAAATGTTAGGAGGGTTCATCCCATAGAGGGTTGTAAGAGTCATGCCACTTTAAGATAAACAGAAAAAACAACAGAAGTTTACCAAGTGCAGAGAAGAGGCCACCATTTGATCAGAATGTCCGATGTTTAAAGGGGAACTAAAAGGGATAGATACATAAATACAATTTGGGACCAGCTTACGAAGTTTCTTTTTTTTTTTTTTTATATTTTATTTTTATTTATTTTTTTTTAAATTTTTATTAGTTGGAGGCTAATTACTTTACATCATTACAGTAGTTTTTGTTATACATTGATATGAATTAGCCATGGATTTACATGTATTCCCCATCCCAGTCCCCCCTCCCACCTCCCTCTCCACCCGATCCCTCTGGGTCTTCCCAGTGCACCAGGCCCGAGCACTTGTCTCATGTACCCAACCTGAGCTGGTTATCCGTTTCACCCTAGATAATATACATGTTTCAATGCTGTTCTCTTGAAACATCCCACCCTCGCCTTCTCCCAGAGTCCACAAGTCTGTTCTATACATCTGAGTCTCTTTTTCTGTTTTGCATATAGGGTTATCGTTACCATCTTTCTAAAGTCCATATATATGTGTTAGTATACTGTAATGGTCTTTATCTTTCTGGCTTACTTCGCTCTGTATAATGGGCTCCAGTTTCATCCATCTCATTAGAACTGATTCAAATGAATTCTTTTTAATGGCTGAGTAATATTCCATGGTGTATATGTACCACAGCTTCCTCATCCATTCGTCTGCTGATGGGCATCTAGGTTGCTTCCATGTCCTGGCTATTATAAACAGTGCTGCGATGAACATTGGGGTGCACGTGTCTCTTTCAGATCTGGTTTCCTCGGTGTGTATGCCCAGAAGTGGGATTGCTGGGTCATATGGCAGTTCTATTTCCAGCTTTTTAAGAAATCTCCACACTGTTTTCCATAGTGGCTGTACTAATTTGCATTCCCACCAACAGTGTAAGAGGGTTCCCTTTTCTCCACACCCTCTCCAGCATTTATTGCTTGTAGACTTTTGGATAGCAGCCATCCTGACTGGCGTGTAATGGTACCTCATTGTGGTTTTGATTTGCATTTCTCTGATAATGAGTGATGTTGAGCATCTTTTCATGTGTTTGTTAGCCATCTGTATGTCTTCCTTGGAGAAATGTCTGTTGAGTTCTTTGGCCCATTTTTTGATTGGGTCATTTATTTTTCTGGAGTTGAGCTGGAGGAGTTGCTTGTATATTTTTGAGATTAATCCTTTGTCTGTTGCTTCGTTTGCTATTATTTTCTCCCAATCTGAGGGCTGTCTTTTCACCTTGCTTATAGTTTCCTTTGTTGTGCAAAAGCTTTTAAGTTTCATTAGGTCCCATTTGTTTATTTTTGCTTTTATTTCTAAAATTCTGGGATGTGGGTCATAGAGGATCCTGCTGTGATTTATGTCGGAGAGTGTTTTGCCTATGTTCTCCTCTAGGAGTTTTATAGTTTCTGGTCTTACATTTAGATCTTTAATCCATTTTGAGTTTATTTTTGTGTATGGTGTTAGAAAGTGTTCTAGTTTCATTCTTTTACAGGTGGTTGACCAGTTTTCCCAGCACCACTTGTTAAAGAGGTTGTCTTTTTTCCATTGTATATCCTTGCCTCCTTTGTCGAAGATAAGGTGACCATAGGTTCGTGGATTTATCTCTGGGCTTTCTATTCTGTTCCATTGATCTATATTTCTGTCTTTGTGCCAGTACCATACTGTCTTGATGACTGTGGCTTTGTAGTATAGTCTGAAGTCAGGCAGGTTGATTCCTCCAGTTCCATTCTTCTTTCTCAAGATTACTTTGGCTATTCGAGGTTTTTTGTATTTCCATACAAATTGTGAAATTATTTGTTCTAGTTCTGTGAAAAATACCGTTGGTAGTTTGATAGGGATTGCATTGAATCTATAGATTGCTTTGGGTAGTATAGCCATTTTGACAATATTGATTCTTCCAATCCATGAACACGGTATATTTCTCCATCTGTTTGTGTCCTCTTTGATTTCTTTCATCAGTGTTTTATAGTTTTCTATGTATAGGTCTTTTGTTTCTTTAGGTAGATATACTCCTAAGTATTTTATTCTTTTTGTTGCAATGGTGAATGGTATTGTTTCCTTAATTTCTCTTTCTGTTTTCTCATTGTTAGTGTATAGGAATGCAAGAGATTTCTGTGTGTTAATTTTATATCCTGCAACTTTACTGTATTCGTTGATTAGCTCTAGTAATTTTCTGGTAGAGTCTTTAGGGTTTTCTATGTAGAGGATCATGTCATCTGCAAACAGAGAGAGTTTCACTTCTTCTTTTCCTATATGGATTCCTTTTACTTCTTTTTCTGCCCTGATTGCTGTGGCCAACACTTCCAAAACTATGTTGAATAGTAGTGGTGAGAGTGGGACGAAGTTTCTTGAATGAGAGACTTGAGGTGTTTTAGGCTTTACTTTGGTAGGGTAGTCGTAGATCACTGAAGTATTATATGAGATGTTGAGCCTGATCCAAATCATGCGTGGAGAGGTGTACTCTGGCAGCATCATTATAGATGTATTGAGCAGAGAGAGGGACGACACAAAAAGAGGTCCGTGTGCTTTGGAAAGACCAGTATATCTGAAGTGGAGCCAGAATCATGGGGTGGAGGCAGGGAGGTTAAGAGGATCAAGGAATTGGAATCAGCACATGAGGGCTATAGTTAGACAATATGTAGGATTTCTAAAGATGGCTGCTTTTGAGTGGGATTAAGTAATATAGTAAGCCCTCAAATACCTTACATTTGTCTTTTTACAGAAGATTTTAATCTTTCACAACAAATAAAGTTTGTTTTATTCAGGTTAATGTTAAAATTAGTTTGAATTTCCCAAGAAGAGTAACTAGAAGGGATAAAAGGTAGGAGGGCCAACAAAGGTTGTATGTTTGGTGTCAGGAAAGAGAGTCCTGTGATGGAAAGTGTGGGCAGCATACACAGAAACCAGAATCAGTAATTGTATGTCAGGTAATTCTTGAGTAATATAATAAATATATTTATTAATATATATATTATACTATATTATGTTATAAATAAATAACATAATAAATAATGTTTGTTTTTCCTTTATAGGACTGGTATAATTCAGGAAAACCTTGTGTGTTTTGGCTCTCAGGCTTCTTTTTTACCCAAGCCTTTTTAACTGGAGCAATGCAGAATTATGCCAGAAAATATACCATCCCTATTGACTTACTGGGATATGAATTTGAGGTACAGTAAGCTTCTTAAACTCCAGAGCATATCATTACATCAAAGGCATGTATTTAAGCAAGGAGGACATGAAGAATTCATATTTTTATTGCCCACTGCATATAATTCTTCTTCTTTCCATTCTTTGTATTTATAAAGAAAGTATATAGTATTTGCCCTGCTGTCTCCATGAGAGAATTTTTATACATATCAATATTCAATTCAGATAATTCAACACTGCTTTTCTGTTTTAGTGGATATGATGTATAGTAAAACCAGATAAAATACTTTTAAAAGAACTGTATTATTTTACAATTACATTTCACTGAGAAAAAAGTATAGTTTAAGAAGCTATTATATGGACAAGTTTCTCTGATTGTGTTCTGAAATTTTAGGTAATACTTTCTTTATGAGACATTTACCTAGGGAGAAAATCTCTGCTAGCATTTGTTTCTGCCTCCAGGTTATTCCTTCTGATACCTCTGAGGAAGCACCAGAAGATGGCGTTTATATCCATGGATTGTATCTTGATGGAGCCCGCTGGGACAGAACAAGGTGAGTAGTTTCAACTGCGAAGACTGTCTAGTGGTAGCTGAATTACAGGTGAGATAAGCTGTCTGCTGCCCTTCATCCCTGCCATCCTCCACAGCCAAAAGGCTTCTTCTAGAGAATATGACAAGTAATAAGTAATATTAGAATTCTTGCCATAAATCATTATTCAGGCTACAGCAATTAGTAAGTGACTGGTTTTAGGTTCTGAACAATTTTGAGTTAATATTTCAATGGACTTACCAGTAGAAAAGTTAGTTGAAGTTATTTTTCTTCTTCTGTTTTATGAGTTACCTTCTGTTTTGTAATGTGTCGGAGCACCTCACTTTTAAATAATTTACAGTTATAGTAAAGTTTCCATTTCTACTGGTGAATGGAAAACTTTTTCTTATATTTTGATGACATAATAAATAAATATTTAGAATAAATACTGAGGGAATACCCTGTCTGTCCAGTGGTTAGAACTTGGCGCTTTCACTGCAGTGGCCCAGGTTCAATCCCTGGTTGGGGAACTAAGATCCCACAAGACATGTAGCACAGCCAAAATAAATAAATACTGAATTTCCAGCATAGGAAACTAATCAATGCTTAGATGTGTGTGTGTGTGTGTGTGTGTGTGTGTGTGTGTGTGTGTGCATGTAGACAGACAAAAGGGAAAGATTATTTCCCTTGGAGCTCTGTTCTTTAACAATCCATTACTTAGCATAATCTTCTATTTCCAGAGTCAGGGTTAGACTTTCCTGTCAAGGAAGGGTTAAAAGTCAAGGCAGGGAAAGTTGCTTAAGAAGGAGCGTGAAGTCAACATCACTCATTATCAGAGAAATGCAAATCAAAACCACAATGAGGTACCATCTCACTCCAGTCAGAATGGCTGCTATCCAAAAATCTACGAACAATAAATGCTGGAGAGGGTGAGGAGAAAAGGGAACCCTCTTACACTGTTGGTGGGAGTGCAAACTAGTACAGCCACTATGGAGAATAGTGTGGAGATTCCTTAAAAAACTGGAAATAGAACTGCCATATGACCCAGCAATCCCACTGCTGGACATACACACCAAGGAAACCAGAACTGAAATAGACACGTGCACCCCAGTGTTCATCGCAGCACTGTTTACAATAGCCAGGACATGGAAGCAACCTAGATGTCCATCAGCAGACGAATGGATAAGAAAGCTGTGATACATATACACAATGGAATATTACTCAGCCTAAAAAGAATTCATTTGAATCAGTTCTAATGAGATGGATGAAACTGGAGCCCATTATACAGAGTGAAGTAAGCCAGAAAGAAAAGCACCACTGCAGTATACGAACGCATATATGTGGAATTTAGAAAGATGGTAACGATGACCCTATATGCGAGACAGCAAAAGAGACACAGATGTATAGAACAGACTTTTGGACTCTGTGGGAGAAGGCGAGGGTGGGATGATCTGAGAGAATAGCACTGAAACATGTATACTATCATATGTGAAACAGATCGCCAGCCCAGGTTGGATGCATGAGGCAGGGTGCTCGGGGCTGGTGCACTGGGAAGACCCTGAGGGATGGGATGGGGAGGGAGGTGGGAGGGGGCTTCAGGATGGGGATACATGTACACCCGTGGCTGATTCATGTCAGTGTATGGCAAAACCCACTGCAGTACTGTAAAGTAATTAGCCTCCAATTAAAATAAACAAATTTTAAAAAAAGGAGCATGAAGGTGGTTCTACAGAGATGGTTCTAAGACAGGGATATGAAGAGAGTTAGCTGCACATAGCTGATGTGATTATTTCTCTCTTTTCATTTTCTTCATTCTCATGACGTTTCTCTTAACTTACTTTTTCTTATATACATATTCATCTTTTCATTTCATTCTTCCTTCCATCTTGCAAGCAAACAAATATGCAGTGTAACATAGGAAAGATAAACTACATTTTCTAGATAGAAAGCTCTATGTTTGAATCCTGACACTGGCACTTAAGAACTCTGTTACTGTGAGAAAAGTACTCAGCCTCTCTGAGTCTCCACTCTTCATCTGTGAAATAGGAATTGGAATGGGGCCAAGACTATTGTGAAGGTCAAATGTAACAGCATAGTGTCTGCCTCATGGACATTACTTTTAAAGTGGCAGTAATTGATATTTGTCCACTATTTAACACATTACCTTCCCATAATTGTCTTCTGTTTTTCTCAATTTTTCATTGCCTTTTACTTGGTTTTGTTTTGACATTTTTTCCCTGCATATCTCTGGTCCTCTCTTGTATTAAAAGCCAATGGCTAAGTCACAATTTCTAAGATGCAGATTTTTATTTACTTCTAATAAACATCTATCAATTTCTCTTCACAGTGGATTGCTTGCTGAACAGTACCCCAAACTTCTGTTTGACCTGATGCCCATCATATGGATAAAACCAAGTAAATATATTTCTAACAAAACTTCATAGAGATTTATGGAGCATAATGATAGATATTTTCAACTGCTTTCCAAATAAGTCTCTGCTCAGACCTGTTAGAATTTGTTCAATTATACTAAATACTGATTTAATGCTTATATTGGAAATATATAGTTCCCCCTTTTTGTGCAGCATCTTTATTATTTTGTGACTATTATTTTGCCTCTTTTTCCTCTTATCACATGGGATATAACATTTTCTTTGCCCCTCCCCTTCACTTCTCCTTTTTCCAAGTCGAGAGCTTCCCATCAATATTTTGATTCTGAAGTGCCTTTGTACACATCTTAGAGACACAAACAGGTTTGACACATAGTCTCCAGTTATTGACTAGAGTTTTCTGACTATAAGAAACTCCTAGGCCTAGGAACCAGCCAGGTGACCCAAGCCGCTAGGGGTGGACACCAGCTTTGCCCCCTTGTAAAACCTACTTTTTGCCATCATCATTTTCCCACCAAATGTGAACAATTGAGGCTCATTCTTTTGTCCTTATTCTCTATTTTTTCTAAATTCTCAAATAATTGTAAATGAAAACATTTACAAATCACCCAATTACCACTCAACCTAGTAAGTGTTTTTATTTCTAAAGCAGTTCATTTATAACTATGATGTGGCCTCAGTTTAGAAAGATTCCTAATATCTCATATCTGGCTTTGCAAGGATTGTGTAGAGATTCTTTTTGTGAGTGAGTGTAGTTTTCCAAGTAATAACCTGGTGAAAACTAATAGTAACTTCAATTTCTTCTAATTTGTGGATTTCTTGTATTAGAACTCTAAGCAACTGTGTTTCTCTTTTTGCTCTCCCGGATTACCTATGCTGTGTTTTATTTCTCCTTATCTTTCAAGTCCTCCAGTGTTTCATACTTGCTCAGTGATCAGGTCTTTAAAATCACGGTGGTTCAGTGGTTAAGAATCTGCCTTCCAATACAGGGGACATGGGTTTGACCCCTGGTCAGGGAACTAAGATCCCACATACCCCAGGGTAACTAAGCCTGTGTATTGCAATGAAGAGCTGGAATGCTGCAATGAAGACCCAGTGCAGCCAAAATAAAAATAAATAAAGTATACTTATTAAAAAAAAAAATCACGTACTATATTGAAATCACTTATCTTGTTTCACAACCATAATTATATGCCAACTATAAAAAAAGAAAAACCAAAACAATAACTTTTAAAATATTCGAATATCATAATCACGATCTGAGATTTAGAACTGGTCATTTTATTACAAGATAAATAGTTGTTCTTTTAGTACCAGTGACTGTTTTTCCTTTATCAAATGACTGTATTTCCTTTTTTTCAAGCTGTAAAGTCTAAGATCGTGAAGTTGAATGCCTATGTCTGCCCTCTTTACAAGACAAGTGAACGTAAAGGAACTCTTTCCACCACAGGACATTCTACTAACTTTGTCATTGCAATGTTGTTGAAAACAGACCAACCTACTCAACACTGGATCAAACGTGGGGTTGCTTTGCTTTGTCAGTTAGATGACTGAATTGGACACCTTAATAAAACATCTGAAAGAAGTTACAAAAAATATTGCCTCTGCTTACTTGAAAATACATACATTATAAAACCCAAATATCTTGGTGTAATTCTTTTAGGTGATCTTTGTGAATGGTCTTTACATTGTCCTCCCTGATATACCGCTCTCGATGGGAGCACAGCCCTCCAGATGGATTCTTGAGACCACAGATAGCTGTGAAGAAAAACATGAAATGTGTATTGGAGTCATATGGAAAACCTTTGAAACTTATTTAGTTCCTTTTTTTAGTTTGATATATATGTGAAAAACAGATTTGGGAAGACTAGCTGGATAAAATTTTGACTAATATCAAAAATTATCTTTTTCACAAGTTTTAAGTCATTTCATCAGCTTCAGTAATAATTTACTTTCTACTCACCTATTGTGATTATACACAGACATTTAAAATACATAAACTGTAAATAAGGAAAACACTGAAACAGTTTCAGAACTAAACCTCTTCTGTCTGACTCTTAAAACGTCAGATCCGTTTTTCTCACAGTACCACTGTGACAAGGAGAGGAAACTCAAAGCACTGAGGCTGACATGCAGAGGCGGTAAGACAACTGCAGGGAGATCCTGCACACGGGACGCGGTATCATGCTGCTTGGCATTTGCTTCACTTTTAATTGGAAATGCCAGGCGGGCTCTGTTATTTTAATAGTTATTATTCTTATTATTTAGTATGCATTCATAATACTAGGGTGCATTATCCATTTGTAAACATTTCAACAGAACAAAATTATAGTCAAAATTTTATTATCTTGTGTGGAGTTAATTCCTTCCTTAAGATTCCCTGGATATTCTAGGCTGCAGCTCTATAGTCCAAAGAAAAGGTAGGTGCAGCTTCCCAGTGAATCAGGACCATAGGGACAGTCATTTTTGATAATTCAGTCAGAGCAAAATGTTTGGCCTCTCTTACATGAAGAATTGATTCTGGTTTGCCATGGCTATGTGCATGAATCCTCAGAGGGAGTTCACCTCACATGGTCAACCTCCTGCAAGAGCACTTTATTCCAGGAATGAAATGTTTCATCTTTTAAATTTCATGAATACAGCAGTGGAGAAAAGAGACCATGTTTCCAAACAGAGCTAAACCGCATGTAAAAAACAAGGGGAATGTGCCAGACTGTCTTATGATCAAGTATTTATAGTAAAGCTATTAATGGAATAGTCACTACTGGGGAGTGGAGATCCTAAATATAAATGAAAATTCTGACGTGCTAATCTTTAACAGTGAAAACTTCAGTGCTGTCCTAGAGGATATAACAAAAGGTAAAACGTCTTTGGTGTGTGATCAAACCTATTCTATTTTAAACCTGAAGTGTTCTTTTAAAGCCATTGAGATATTGCCTAATAAAATATACTGGGGCTTTCCCCCCACTATTCCAGTCAAATGTTATATTATGAGAGCACATTTATTCCTATGTTTATTTTTAATATTTACTAAAATATTTTTAGCATAATACTGCATGTAGGAAAGATATTCTTTTGAGTGAATGCTACAATAACAGAAAAACTCATAAGCTAAGTTTAAAATAGATCAATATGAACATTTTCATAGTTACAATGTCACTAACAAGTTTTATGTGAAAACTTGTTTTTCCTGAGTAAGCTATTAAGTAGATGGTTACTCATAGAAAATTTCTAATTTATGTTGAATCTGTGGCAGGTCAGAAAACTCTGGAGTTTTTGAAAAATTATTTGTAAAATTCACAAAATGAATATTTTGGGTTCTAAATTTTGCATTTTTTCGTTTATCAATCCTATGATTTATTTCAGTTTTTTTAATTTCATTTATAATTTTTATCAGTTGATAATCTGTTTCCACAACTGGAAAAAAATTTTTAATTCATTTTGACTTTAAGGTAAATCTGTCTGCATTCCACATGGATAATTACACCAGTGATGAAGACATCGATGATGACTTTGACACCCAGCTCATCATTCAACAGAGTTTACAGGATAGTCACAAGCCAGGAACTGCGGAGCAGTCACCTGAGGATGAGAGGTAACGGTATCTTTTTGGCAATGCATTATAGGTACTCAACAGTTGAGACTTGTCATAAGCACGATGCTAGTGTTATGACAAAAACAGAAGAGAGAGTCAGAATCCAAGGAGACATCATTTAAATAGTATCTATGAGACGATGTCTGATCAGACAAGAGAAATTAGAAAATAATTCAGAATTTAATTAGGCAGTAAAGAAAATAGTTGGAGGAGATTAGTTACAAATATGGGTGAGGAGAGGCATACTGGAAATGAAAAAGGAGACACAGATGAGAATTTGAAGGGCTAGAAAACCCTAATGCATCTTGTCTTTGGGGAGCCAAGGAAATGTATAAATCCACCAAGACACAGAAAGTTGTTGTCAGTCTTAGTGGGGTGGGTGGGATAGGGTTAAGTATTTATTCAAATCAGAAGGAATAATTGTGTAAACTTAAGCCCAGAAGAGACTACCCTTTCGGAAGGGTGCAGATTCAGAGTTCTGGCATGACAGCACTAGAAGAGGACTCCACAGACCCCTCTTCTTATTCTGTCCCTCTCAACGGGTGGTGAGATGTGATGGCGCCAACTAGCCAACTGCCCTGAATATTGCCCTTGGCCCTGCAGCCAAGCACACCTAGTCAGATGCTTCTGGCTGGTCAGCAGCTTCAAGCCCTGAGTAGTTATCAGGGGTGATAAACCGTTTGCTTGGGATGGTGACCTCCATTTGCCTGCTGGAGGTAAAATGGGATAAATGTGTTTTAACTCCAAGAGATTTTAAAATTAAATGTAGAGATGTTGAAGTTTATCAAACCTACCGTTGGTTTTTTTTTTAATTTTTTAAAGTAACACTCACTTGGAGTGATTGTGTGCCACACTTTTGAGCATTTCATAAATATTAACTCATTTAAATTTTAATTCTCATTACCTCTCTATGTGGTAGGTACTATTATTATCCCCACTTAGAGGTGAGGAAACTGAGGCATGGAGAAATTAAGCAACTAACCCAAAGTCACAAAGCTAGTAAGTAAAGAGCCAGACAGCTTGGCTTCAGAGTCTTTGTTCTTTATCACACTATTCCTACACTTTTGTTTTAAATTTAGAAAAAAATCTTTAAAATAATCTTTAAATAGTTAAAAGTTTTATAAAGAAATTGGATTTCATTGGATTACCTGTTGTATTAACCTTGTGATTAGCTTTGAAGTCATGATTTTACATTGAAAGGTAAAAGATTTAATTAAGAGTATTGAAATATTTCAAAGAAATTAAACTTGACTATAGTTATAAATTTCAGTTATTAGATTTGAAAGAATTGTATGATACTTAGCAAGGTTTGCTGATTTGATCGGGCACTTGAAGGAATTAGGAAACAAGCATATACTTGAGACAGGAAGAATAAAGTGCTCCTCCCGCCCCCAACAGAAAGATGTCCAGTCCTAATCCCCAGAATTTATGACTATGTAACCTTACACAGCAATGGAGAATTAAGGTTGCAGATGGAATTAAGATTGCTGATCAGTTGACTTTAAGATAGGGAGATTATCCTAGGTTATCCAGACAGGCCCAATGTAATCACAAGCGTCTTTAAAAGTGGAAGAGAGAGGCAGAAGAAAGAGATCCTGAGAGATGGCTGGGTAGAAGGACATGGCCCAAGATTGTTAGCTTTGATGATGGAAGAAGGGGTCAGTGAACTAAGAAATGTGGGTGGCCTCTAGAAGCTGGAAAAGGCAAAGAAGTGGATTCTTCCGTAGAGCCTTCAGAAGAAACACAACACTACCAACACATTGATCTTGGTCCAGTAAGACCCATTCTGTACCTCTGAACTGCAGAACATAATAAATTTGTCTTATTTTAAGCCACTCAGTGTGTGGTAATTTCACACAGCTGTTATAGAAAACTAATACAATGCTAAATCAATAAGTACAGTTTTAAATGTTTAAGAGAATTTGACTGACCAGATTGTAATCAGGACAGACTGTCTAAGGGAATTTATTTTCTTCAAGCTAGGTTCATTGAATAATCAAAAGAAAAACGGAAAGGTGACAATCGTTATTTACTAGATTTAAAAAATAAGATCCATAAATTGTTCTTTAAAACTTTAAATATTTTAATAAAAATAATACTTAAAAAAAAACTGCTAATAGTGTTTTTTGAGCACAGATTCTGACCATGAATATTTTTTTAAAATCTTATACCATGATTATTTACTTTTTTAAAAAAATAATTTTTGCTAAAATCAGTGACACTATAGAGTGGCCATTTAAATTTTAATGTGATAATATGACATTTCAGTCCTAGACAGGTTTGATTAAGTTCAGCAAGTATCAACTGAGGGCCAACTGTGATCTGGGTTCTCACAGTTCTTGCCCTAAAGAAACTGATGGGAAGACATATGAGAGAGGAGTTTCTTTGGAGCACATAAAGGGTTATACTACGTTTTGAAGTATTTCTATTATGCCTCAGTTATGGCCTCATTATAAGTTCACTCCTGGCTAACTACTTTTGCCTTTACCCTTTCCTTTTGTTTTATGTCCTTAACTTTTTTCCTCAGTTTTGGAATTTCATGTATATTTTTTTCCCCTGCAGCTTTTTGAGTGCTTACTATAAGAAGATAGTTGAAACAATAGAGACAGTTAAGTACTCTTCTTATTCTATCCCCTTCAACTTGTGGTAAGATGTGATGGTGACAACTAGCAGCACTTTCCCTCTGAGTTCAGGCAGCCTAGAAACAGGATCTCCCAAATGCTGAACACTGTGGAGTCCACAGCTGATGGTCAGGAGTCTGACATGGCCTTTCCTGAGAGAAACTGCTTCAGCCACAGCTTAGCAAAGAGCTCCTGGGCTCCTCGGTGAACAGAACTGTTTTCTATATGTAATAAGATGACAGGTATTCACAGACCCAGGTGGTATGGAATGCTGGATTAAAGAACTTACCGCTGATTTCCCTGCATGTGTGTTAGTCACCTAGTCATGTCCAAGCTTTTGTGACCCCATGGACTATAGACTGCCAGGCTCCTCTGTCCATGGAATTTCCCAGGCAAGAATACTGGGGTGGGTTGACATTTCCTTCTTCAGGGGATCTTCTGTACCCAGGGATTGAACCCAGATTTCCTGCATTGCAGGCAAATTCTTTATTGTCTGAGACACCAGGGAAGCCCTTATTTGCCCTGTGTGATTTACATTTGTCTTTCATAAAAGGTGTGCCAGAATTCCATTTTCTCATGCACTAACCTTGATGATGGTATTCAGAAGCAGTATGGGCTGCCTTGTACGTGTGCTAAATGTGAATATGTCCTCATTTGACATACTAATAGGTAAGGAAGATGTGTTGTCACAGTTGACCAAGTACCATTCAGCTTTTGATGAAGCAGATGAGATAGGCTGGCTTCCTCTCCATAAGGCTGCAGTACAATTAAATAAGAACATTTTGGAAATCACCCTGAACGGTAAACTCCCTTTACAACTCTTCTTGAAGCTTCTGAGAAATAAGTTTAAAGTTTATTTTCATATTTTAATCTGTGTGGTCTAATGGATTTATTTCAGCCTCAAAACTCAGTGTGTGGGAGCAAACCACCCACAATGGTGAAACGCCACTGTTTTTGGCTGTCAGCAGCAGCCTCTTAGAAAACGTCAGTTTTCTCCTTCTCAATGGCTGCAATCCAAATACCAAGAATGTCGAAGGCAATTCACCTCTTCTTACAGGTAAATTAACACCTTGGCTCTGGAGAACAGTCTGTGGCCCTGTGTCTCCTCTAGACCCAGGGGCTTCGCAGGCAGTTTTTTGGTGCATAGTTGCAGCATTGTCACTAGTCCCAACTGACCACATGTGGTATCTGTCTCCCAAGAAGCTTTGTATAAACTGGCTTGCGAGGTGAGGCAAAGTGTCTTCCCAGTTATGAGCTGGTTGTTTAGCCTGATACCCCAGCTGAACAAGTCAATCTTGGTATGAGAAATGTGGAGGAGGAGCAGAGTAGGAAAAAGCAGCCAGTGTTTGGGTAAAGTCGGCGGATTAAATATGACTGACCACATGTGGTATCTGTCTCCCAAGAAGCTTTGTATAAACTGGCTTGCGAGGTGAGGCAAAGTGTCTGCCCAGTTATGAGCTGGTTGTTTAGCCTGATACCCCAGCTGAACAAGTCAATCTCGGTATGAGAAATATGGAGGAGGAGCAGAGTAGGAAAAAGCAGCCAGTGTTTGGGTAAAGTCGGCGGATTAAATATGAATGACCAATTTTGCTGCCTGAGTCTTCAGGAGAAGTACAGTTCATTTAATGTTTTAAAGGGTTAAGATTATAGAAGAATGGGAAGACGGGAAGAGGAGACAACAGTAACATGATTTTTAAAAACCAGAAGAGCAGATAGATCAATGAGTAATAAGTGACAAGAAAGCTAAATCTTAAATTGGAGTGGGGAAAGCCAAAAACCAGTGCAGTTGTATCAGAAGGCCTGGAAACTGTTGGCTATAGTTACCTCCTGGAACACAGGGATGAAGAACAAGCAGCTAAAATAGAAAAACTGTTTGAAAACTATGAAGAAACCAGTACCCAGGTATCTAGATTACTTCTCCCAATCTACCCTGCTGGGTCAGATTCCTCCTCCACCCCAGCAAAATTTTGGAGGTTTATTCTCTGAACAGTGTGAGCAAAGGGTCTCAGGACTGGAGATGATTAGGCAAGGGCAGGAATGCTGTATTCAAAACACTGGAGGAATTAAGCAAACACAAGTTGAGATCTCCCAGCTCTCCTCCACCAAATTCTAGAAAGCTGACAGCTAGAACTTCACCCTCCAAGAGGAGGCTTCTCTGATCAGCTTAAGGAGAAAGAACTAAAGATAGTGCAATTGGAAGTTGCCCAACAAATGGCCCAGGCATATCAACCTTCAGTTAAGTCAGTGTTTAGAATTTCCAATCAGATTTTTAGTTTCCAATTCTTAAATCATGAGCAGATATATCCAAGGACTATCTGAGAAAATTCTCCAACAAGCAAAGATAAACAACTTGGAAGAAACAGATTATTTAAGGATAATAAAATGTAAGGGAAAGTTATCATTAATTTTCTCAGAAAAATCAATGAAAATTAATAAAATATCAGGACACTACTAAAAAAACAACAAGAAAAACACTCTTGAAAATTAAAAATATGGTAGAAATTTTTAAAAATGCTATGAGATAAAGTTATGTGAGCTTTACCTTACATAACTGAAAATAAGAAAAGAAATGAAAAATAGGAAAGAAAAATAACTAAGAGAACTAGGATGACAATTGAAGAAGGGTAACATGTGAGTAACAGAAATAGTAGAAAGAGAACACACAAGATGGAGGTAGTATGTCATCAATGAAACAAGTCAAGAAAGTTATTTCCTAAAACAAAGGACATGTGTTTCTAGAATGAAAGAGCACAAAGTGCCAACTCCATGAATTAAAAAAGACCCAATACCCTTGGGTTCTCCATATTTCTAGCCTTAGAGCAATTATAGCTCTTTATATGGCACATTATAAACAGCAGTGAGCAGAATTCATCCTGATTCAGTGTCTGACACCTAGCAAGATTCCTCAGACACAGTTGGTGCCAACAATTAGTGAATGGATAGGAAGATGGATAAATTAAGTTCTAGAATCTTAAAGGACTAAAGATTATCATCCAAATGTGAATTAACAGCATAAATGCAGAAATACCAGTTAGAGAATTTGGTTTACAAAGTGTGAGGTTAAAAATGATTTCCTAATTATAGCTTTTTTTTGTTTTTCTTTAAGTAAAGCAACTACAAACATTCCTGGGGCTGTACTGGATACTTAAGTTCCTATTTTCTTGAGAACAGAAAGATGATATGTGAAAACCTTGTTTTTCAGCCCATAAGTAGCCAAGAGACAATGAATAATTGGTCATGACTTAAAAGCAAGTAGCCGTATTGATGTAAAACACTATTAATATTACTTGATATGTGCCTCATTTTTTTCCTAAGCACAAGTTGTTGGCACATGGGGGGCAGGTAGGAAGAACTCCTTAAGAATCCTGAGGGAGACTAGCTGATCAGATACTCTGGCCTGAATTTCCTGTTGAACATGACACCTCCCTCACTCCCAATTTCCCAGCTGTTCTACAGGACTCCTATGATATGGCCTCCTTGCTCATCAGCCATGGGGCCAACGTCAACCTGCTGTGTGCCAACAAGAGGACAGCGCTCCACGAAGCAGCCAAGCTGGGCAGACAGGACATAGTGGCACTCCTGCTGGCTTCTGGGGCACACCCCGACCCACAGAGCTCCTACGGATTCACTCCTCTCGCTCTTGCTGCCCAAAGCGGTCACACTGAAATCATGCAACTCTTACTGCAGAAAGGCAAGGTTTTCCTATACCGTCGGCACACTTTACTACAGGGTAACATGACCAAAGTGTTCGCTTCTTCACTGAGAGCTTCAAAGTAATAGAAGTTAACGTTTCATTTAAGCTTAATTTAATATTTCATGGAAGTACATGTTAATACATTAGCTACTGAAAAAAAAACCTAAAATAGGGATTGAATACTTCTTACTGGCTCGAAGTAGATTCCCTGAAATTACTAGGCTGCAGATTACTCTTTTACTTAATGTTCCCTGACCATGTTAAGAGGATGGTTGCTTTCTATTTAATTTTTGTGTGTTACTATTCTTTTTTAGATTCATAGAATGAAAGACTTCACAAAATCCTCTGTATGTTTTCTCTGCTTAAGCTACCTCTACATGTTTTCTCTGCTTGAGCTAAGTGATGAGGCAGTCCAATCTGTTACCAGATGAATTATTAGGAAATTCTTCCTGATTTCTTCTTTGTGAGTCCCAGTTCTCCTCTCTCAGTTCAGTTCAGTTGCTCAGTCATGTCTGACTCTTTGCGACCCCATGAATCGCAGCACGCCAGGCCTCCCTGTCCATCATCAACTCCTGGACTTTACTCAAACCCAGGTCCTTTGAGTAGGTGATGCCATCCAGCCATCTCATCCTCTGTCTGTTTTCTGAATGTTGAGCTTTAAGCCAACTTTTTCACTCTCCTCTTTCACTTTCATCAAGAGGCTTTTTAGTTCCTCTTCACTTTCTGCCACAAGAGAGAAGGGGAAAGAAGGCAACTTACATATGTTGACTACTTTCTCAGCAGCAAGTATTAAGCTGCTTATCTTACCTCAGACAATCTTCTGCAAACCCTGTGAGATAGGCATTATCCTCATTTTACCCTTGAGGAAAGTGAGGCTCAGTGATGGTACCAGTTGCAAGACTTCCCTTCAACACGTCCTTTCCTGCCACCAGTGCTGTAGCTATGGACATCTTAGATCCTGGTTTAACTCACAGAAACCCTGGCTCAGAGAACTTTGGCATTTACTGTCTTTGAGGAGACACCCCATTGATGACACTGTGAGAAGAAGCAGTGTATTATCTAAAGCTTTTGTTCAAAGAAGCAAATCTTTCCCAAGATTTCATAAAGTCCCAATATTAGAATTATCTTCTTATTCTCCCCCTCCCCCCATTTGTGTCCAGAAGCCTTATTTCTTTCTCTAACAACAGATGGTCCTGGTTTCCAGTTTTCTAGACTGCACAGAACAACTTTCTGCTTTTTAGACTTACCTAAATCCTTCCTATCATATAAGGAGAGGCTAGTTCCCAATCAATGGCCATAAAACGTTTCAAGTAAAATGTTATGACTGCTGTCAGAGATGGCTCAGGTCATTAGCTAGAAAAACAAAGTAAACATTGGATCTTTCATCTGCACAAAAAGAGCAACCTCTTGTGTAGATCATTGATTAAAATATAGAGAAACAAGAGAAGCAACAGATTTTAAATCCTTAACCTTAAAAAAAACAAAAAAAAACCAGTATGGGTTGACCTCAGTGAGGGGGCATCTCCCTTAGGTAAGACCCTGTACAGTCATTTGCACACAGCTACTAAATAACAGAGCCAGGCTTTGACCCCACAACTGTCTCATTCCAAATCACATTAGTTTACCAGCCTGCATTGCTAGACTGGTAACATAGCGTCATCATAGAAATAGGCCCTGGGTCTGGCCCACCTGGCATGAATCCTGACTACCCTGCTGCCTAGCTGTGCATCTCTGGTGAAGTAATTTAATCTCAGTGAAGCTCAGTATCTTCATCTTTAAAATGAAGACGTTAGCATCTACTTCCCAGGGTTGTTGTGAAGTTTAGAAGGAACTAGCACATAGTGAGTACTCACTACACGGGGCTTATTAGACACTTCTTAAAGCATTCTAGAGCTAGGGTTCTGGGGCAGCCATTTTATATTCTAATGATTATGGAGTCCACACTAAATTAAAGTCACCATCGCTTTTTTTACATGAGCTGTGAAGGGGACCAGAGTGTCCTTTTCTTTTGTCCATTCGAATGCTACTCTTTGTTGAAAGCCCAATTTACTCAGAGGCCTTCCAAAACTGACCCAAAATTCCTCTCTCCTTCCTTCACTTCCTAGTCCCACTTACAACCCCAGCCCCACTCACAGCCCCAGCCCTGAGATCTTCAAGAAGACAGCCTGCGTCTATATCCTTATTACCCATACCATTCACAGGGCACTTTTAAGTATCAGCAGTCTCCAACTTCAACTAAGAACAGCTAGTGTCTCTTAGTATGCAGTCTCCTAGCAACAAGTTAAAACAGAACAAATACCCTTTCCACCATAACATCTTCATTAGATTCATGGTGACATAGTACAACAGGACAGTTAGTGCCATCTTATATGTGTGTTATGAGGTAAGCAAGCTTTTGTATGCAGGTCTGAAAATAAAACCTATAAAATTATTTCTCCTGGGATTCTTAAGTTAGAAACCGTTGCTTATAAAATTACTCTGAAAGCCAACACGTGTATTTATACTTAAGAATACTTAAGCAATACAGTGAAAAGACTCTTTGCATAACATCACTCTTTCTCCTCCTAGGAGCTAATGCTCTTGGTCAGGCCTCTGACTCTTCTTCCATCTTACTTGAAGCTGCTAGCGGAGGAAATCCAGACTCTGTGGCTCTCTTGCTAGAGTATGGAGCTGACGCCAACGTCCCCAAGAATTCAGGTCACCTGCCCATTCATGTAGCAGCTGACAGAGGCCACTTGTTGTAAGTTCAACCACACTATTGCAAACAGAAATAGTAATAGCTATGGGATTGGGGGGTGGTTTCTGGGAATTTTATATTCTTCATCTCTGATCCTCCAACTTCAACACCCCCTTTTAAATTAAGAAACTCTGGACCAGCTAGGAACTGGTAAATTCAGATATCCTCTGTAGCCACTGACGAGACATAAAACTATCTTATTATCAGGTCATTTGGCAATGCAGGGAGCCTTGGGTTTCACTGACTGGGATAATTCTGAGTTTTTTATTTAGACCTGTAACTTTACCTGGTATCTGAGATTTTGCATGCAGGAACTATGCCTTTTTTTTTTTTTTTCTTTTTTTGGTTGGGGGGGTCTAAATATTACCTGATACTAATACCACCCAGTGCTAGTATAAAGCAATTACAAACAGGTCAATGCTGCTTCTTAACAAAAAAAATTTTAATGCACTTTGAAATTCTTTCTCAGAGCTCTGAAGATTTTGGTTCCAGTTACTGATTTTGCTGCCATCAAGAGGAGTGGCATCAGTCCAGTTCACTGTGCAGCAGCAGGAGCACACCCCAAATGCCTGGAATTTCTCATCCAGGCGGGATTTGATGTGAATTTCATGCTCGATCAGAGAATCCGCAAACACTACGATGACCACAGGAAGTCGGCTCTGTATTTTGCTGTATCAAATGGTGACCTCTCTTCAGTTAAGCTGCTTCTGAGTGCTGGGGCTATGCCTAATCAAGACCCAGTTAACTGCCTCCAGATAGCCCTCAGGATGGGCAACTATGAGTTGGTAAGTCTGCTGCTACGGCACGGGGCCAACGTTAATTACTTCTGCAGAGTCAACCCTTTACATTTCCCATCGGCGCTGCAATATACACTGAAAGACGAGGTCATGCTGAGGATGCTGCTGAATTACGGGTATGACACGGAGCGATGCTTCGATTGTCCTCACGGAGACAAAGGTCATCCTTTCTCTGCCTTTGAAGGCTGGACATCTACAGTCATCAAAGATACCATGGTGAGTACACACCACAGCAGCAGTCACCCTGTGTCGTCACTATTGGTGGCCCCGAACTACAGCAAGATAAAATTCCACTCTTCCCAGAAGCTCTGGTTGGAAAGATTTTAATATGATAAATATATGAGAAACCTGATGACAGAAAGATGAAAAAAGTACAGAAACAGTTTAGAGGAAAAAGTGATTTAACTCTACTCAGGGAATTTCACAAATGAAGCAACATCTGCACAAGGTTATCTCAAGTGCTACCTCTTCAGAGAGGCCCTTCCCTACCCATCTTATTTAAGGTAGTTCTGCTTCCTAAGCATTGTCTTTAATGCTTTTATAAACTTTTACCAGTTTCTGAAATTCTTTAATATTTTACTGATTACCTCTCTTCCCTACAAATACATGAATATAAGCTTTTGTTCACCACTTTCATCAGCTTATAGATCTATGCTCAGAGTAGATGTACTATAAATACTTGAATTCATATTGTTAAAATCTGAATATATAAATAAAACGAAAAAAAAAACTTTGGATCAATTCTGAAAAGTAAAAAGCAAATATTTTAATATTGTATGTTATTTTTAGGTTATAATTAATGAACAACTTGGTTAATTTAGGTAATATGTCATCTTGTATGGCTTCCTGACTTTTCATATAGTATTCTTTGCATTCTTACATGGGCATCTTATCTTGTCTAAGGACATGTAAATCACTTAAAGGTAGAAACTATCTTATGCTTCAAGTATCAGGGTGGGACTATGTTATGAATGATAGAAAACCCCCAATAAAGGTGGCTCTAATAAGATGGTTTATTCCCCTTTCATAAAATAAAGGCAAATGCAAATAGCATTCTAACTGGACAGTTCCATGACTCACAGGAGAAACTCACACCCACACTGCAGTGAGCAGGATGGCTGGCAGGGAGGAGTGCACACTTTGCTCTTCTCTAACAGCATTCTGGGAGTTGCTCACACTTCCACTGACATCCCACTGGCTAGGACATAGTCAGGTGGCCACATCTAGATGCAGGTGAAGCTGGAAAGGTAATCTTTATTCCAGACAGCAGTGCGGGCAAACAAAGGGGATAATAAATATTATCTAACAGTCTCTTTTAAATCCTCATTGTATCTTACAAAGTTCAGGAGAGTTAGTAGTAAATATTTTTCCCAATGATCCCGTGGAAGAGGAAATGGCAACCCAATCCAGTATTCTTGCCTAGAGAATCCCACGAACAGAGAAGCCTGGGGGGCTATAGTGTGTAGGGTTACAAAGAGCTGGACACAACTGAAATGACAGCATGCATGTATGCATTTTCCCAATGTTAAGAGTCAAGAGATATTTTCTTGTTCAACACCTTTGTTTGTAAATGAAGAACCTGAAACCTTTGGTTCCCGACTTTAGAGTTTAGTGTTCTTTTGATGACTATGTTAAACACAGATGTGTAAATTTTTCATTTACTTTCATGGTTCTGATTTTCTTCCTCAGTTCTGTGAAGTAATAACTTTGTCATGGCTGCAGCATCTCTCTGGGAAAGTTGTTCGAGTGATGCTTGATTATGTTGACCAAGTTAGGATCTGTTCAAAGTTGAAAGCTGTGCTCCAAAAACAGGGGCTCTGGTCAGAAATCCATTTTATCTTGAGTAAGTATCTTTCTTGAACATTCTTACCAAAAAATACTAATTGAACTCTTGTTTTGCAGAACATTGTTCTCTTCAGTTAAAAGCTTGACCTAAAGAAACCAAGAAAAAGACTATTCCTACCTAAAAAAATGTTACTGTATATACTTAATGTGTACTTATTAACCATTTCCCAATAGATGAAATCTGTTACATAATTATTTATTATAAAGGCAGATAATAATTTTCTCTTGATCCTGTGGAACATCTTAGACACAGGAATTAAAAACTATGAAATGGGGCTTCCCTGATGGTCCAGTGGTTAAGAATCAGCTTATTGCAGGGGACATGAGTTCAATCCCTGGTCAGGGAACAAAGATCCCACATGCCAATATGCCACACTACTGTGCTACAACAAAATGAAGATCCTGATAGTCGCAAAAAAGACTCAATGCAAGCAAATAAATAAATAAATATTTGAAAAAAAACAACAACTATGAAATGGCACTAAAAACAGAGATGAGACAATGCTAAGATCTAAGACTCTGAAGGATAGTAAATAACCCTTCAAACAAAATTGTTTCACAGCAGCACCTAAGTCAAACTAAGAAGAATTTCTTTTATCTAATTTCCCCACAGAATCTTTAGTTTTTAGCCTGACCCCGAGGGGCAGGACAGGGGGTTAATACATGTAGATGTAGGAGCTTTAGGTCTCACAGGCTAGACCTACAATTGATGCCAGTCTTTGGACTCTAACATGACATGGTCTGAAACCATAGCTACAAGATTTGCAATGAGAGTGAAAAGCTACTTCCCAATTTAGTCACAACAAAGGAAAATCTTGGTGGCTTAAGTATAAAATACATTTGCTAAGATCATGGAAAAATCAATCAATTCTTACTCCTTTTGGATAACGTGCCTGTTTTGCATTTTAGCAAACCCTCGCTCTCTTAAACATTTGTGCCGCCTCAAGATCCGGAAGTGTATGGGACGTTTACGTTTGCGCTGCCCCGTCTTCATGTCATTTCTTCCATTACCCAACCGTCTAAAGGCGTATGTCCTTTACAAAGAGTATGACCTTTATGAACAAGGAATTTTCACAGGAACCTGGTAATCAAACTATTCTGGATGAAAAGGTACAAATCTGCAGATGTCTTTCTTAAAATTTGACTTGTATTTCTCACTTTACCTGGCAACTAAAATCTCAATGCAGTCTAGGTTCTTCAGAGAGTCACTCTGAACACAGTCTCTCAATAGATGGCTAGCCTTATGAAAGGCAGTTTTATAAAAATAAAACCCAAAGTAAAAATTTCAGTTAACTGAGATTATCAGTTCTAATGCTAAATTGATCTTACATTAAATGTATGAATTCATATTTTTATATGCCCAAAATAATAAATGCTACCTCTGATAATGCAAGATAATTCTTAATAGTAATACTTTTTATAGAGAAATACATATATAAAACGCCTTAGTTACGACAATTAAAAAAGTGCTGACCCAAGTACATGGTCCTAGAAATTAGCTGTTCCTATACAGAAGTCCCAAGAATAGCTTAGTGTTTGTTTATGTGTAGAGTGCAGTCCTGAGGTAATTCAGCTGAAAGAGAACCTTCAATTGCAGTTTCATCATTAACGGGATACATGTGTTCCTTCTTTCCACAAAACCCTGGTGAACGGTTATCATTTATTGGTTCATGTGATCACTGGAATAAAAACTGTTTTCAAAGGGATGATGGTTTATGATTTCTACACTGAGTCCAGTCCAGTAGATAGACAGGAGTGGTTCACCGATAGAAGCAGTTATAGATATTAGTTTACAATTTTGTTTCTATATATTCTATGTTGCATTTAAATACAGGTTTCTGGATGTGGAAGTGAGATAGGAAACTGAGAAGACATTCATTCAGCCACACCTGTGTACCATTATATGGCACATCAACACAGAGAACAGAGGGGCAGGATTATGGCCGCAGGCCTAGTCAGTTATAGCTTGATGTTTATGTGTTCAGTCTTAGCATACATTTTTTTTTTTGGCATAATATAGTCCTTCTTAAGGAAACTGAAGCTATATGATTTCTTTCTGATGTAGGGATTCATGGCTATATAGACTATTTCAGTAAGTACAGACTTAAAATTACTTTTATAATACAGTTTTCACATAGAAACTTTGCAAAACTAGCTGGCATGAATAGTTTTTATTTTTTTTAATCAAAGTGTGATGTCTGTTTATAAATGAGTGCTAGATTATATGTATGTTCATATACAAATATATTTAGGATATACATGCACCTAGATAAATTATATAATTCTAAAGTTAATTTCATCTGCTCCCTGGACCTCCTACAAATGTATACATGTCATAAAATTCAAAACAAAACAGAAACTGCCAGTAGAACAGAACTTGGTAAATGTTATAGGGAACCACAGAGAGGACAGCGGATGAATATTCATTAGTATTACAACTACAGGCCCAACCCACGTAAGCTGATGTACACAAAAACCTGGTCCTTTAAACTACAGGAATTCCTTTGAATAGGACCAAGCAGAGCAAGTATACACTGTAACGTGTCTAGGGTAATTACTGAAAAGTCCCTGAATTTTTCTAAAAGGAAAAAAGTCACTAGATATGAATTAGTACTATTTCCCCATGAGTGACATCTTTTCACCCATTTTAGTTGTTATGGGATTGCAATAGAGATAGATGTGTAATAGTATCATAAAAGATTAAGAAAAAGTCCATTTGTTTTATAAGCATCATTTGAAATTATTTGGAACAATAAAATTTAGAGTATATACCAGATATTTCATACAAAAAAGACTATAAAAAATCATGGACTTTATTATACATTAAAAATCTCCTAACAGCATATTTCCTGAAGCCTTATCAGGAATACTTATTTTGACATAATGAAAAAATAAGTTCTCCACTCCACATGTATACCACCATTACATAAAGTCTGGTTCTTCAAATTTAATTCTAAAGAGAAATGTAGCGTAATTTTTAATTGCATATACATGATTAATAGTATCAGTGAAATAAGAATTAACCAATTCACTTACATTACAAAATCACGAAATATACAAAGCGGTTTTGCACATTAGTTATAACTTACTCCCTGGTTCTCATATTAACCTACGTAAATTACATATGAGTACAGCCACAAGAGATTAGTTAAAAAGTATAATATAGTTCCAGTTTCAATTTTTATGTATTATTAATTACTATGGAAGAAAAAAAAATCTCATGAAAGAAGAGTAAGCCAAACTTGCTAAAAATAAAGTCAAAGACTTGCTTGCTACAATCAGTGTGTTTGAATATTTAAAGTACAGTTTGAATGCTTGGAGACTGTTATCCAAGTCAATGTTAATATTTTAATTTTATTAATTTGGGTGACAGATTTTGCAAAACATAGGCTCTCAGTCTGTCAGCATGTATAAGAGGATTCAACCCAAATACTTGCAATTCCAATATATAACTCAAAATGAGTGCCTTTACTCAAAAAGATGCCTTTACCACACATGATGACATGTGACATAGAATGGTATGAACACCCTAATATCCTTTTCTCAAGCATAAAAGTAACATAAATTTACCACCTCTATACTGTGGAATCTGAGAATTCTTTTGAAATTAAACACAAGGTAATCATTATAGTCATGGCAAAAACTAGACTGGGGACTATGTTCAAGGTAACAGTTTCAGTTCCTTGTTAGCAAGTTTTCTCAATTTTACAAGGGGGAAGGAATAATTATTTTGCTATCTATTGACTTTATTACCATAGTTATAAAAGTACTGTTGACACAGGGAGCATGAGTGCCTAGCAGAATTAGGTAGACTTAATTCTTTCCTTTTTTTTTAAAAAATTCCTTTCCTTTTAAAGAATCAGTTTTGTTAATGTCTAAAAACCATTAAATGCAAGTTTGAATCTGAGAAAGATATCCCAAAATCTAATGCCGTTACCACCAGAGCATCCAAAACCTTGAAGAGATTTCAAAGGGGAACAAAGATCAGCTTGAATGTTATGCAAAAATCCATGGGGAGCCTTCTTTAAACAAAACACAGAATTTATTAAAGTTGATGGTTAAGTATCTGCTGTAATGGAATAGTTCACATGGTTCTACAGTAACGAAACAGAAGTTGAATCATCTAACATTGTTAAGCCCACACATGACTTCTGTTTGGCATTGGAATGCACTCTGGTCTGAGCTACGGGCACCAGTGTGTTATTGTGGAAATTCCTAACAAGATATGACTTAAGAAAAGCCACAAATTTGTCCAGCATCCCTAAGTCTCAGTACCATTACCTTTCATCTACATTTTGACCGAGCGCGCTCACCAAGGGCAGCGCTTTGCTACCATGCAAAGCACCAGCCTGGCTAACACTGTCTCCTAATGCTGACCACCTTCCTTGCATGGTGGCTGACAAGTTACACCTGAACTAAGTGAGGTGGCAGCCTTATAGTATAAACAAAAGACTTACTGAGACAGAAAGCTTACTAATCCTTAAAAAGGTCTTAAAAGCAGGATGTGCCATGGCTAACCAAATGCTGATCACAGAAGAAATTTCAATTTCTACAGAAAGGAATGATGCACAAACTACTGTGAAAGCATTCCCTTTAGCAAGGACAAAATAAACTCTTTTCAAAAAGTATTCCATAAATTTCTACTTTTTTACTATATGTTTTGGTAACATAAGGCTTCAAAATAATGATTATTAAGTAATCATTATTCCCATTTGGTACATGGCTAAAAAAACACCACAATCCTATATATAATTACCTATTCCATTCCTACAGAAAACAGTGTATATACATTGTGAAACAGCTGAGAACTATATGCCATTTCTAAATCAGAACTAAGAAGAAAAAACTATATGTCAAATAACAAAAGGTTTTTTTTCCTTGTAAAATTAGTAGCTAATCTCTTGAAAATTTTAAATATATGACTATGTAAAATATTTTATTCAATATATTTAACGTGGCTATATGTATTTTTACATGTGAAACACAGGAACATAATTTCTATCAGCAATGTTAAAAATCCAAGTTTAAAAAAAAAAAATCAAGTTCTGTCATAGAATTAGGCAGTAGAGAAGTGTCATTTTAACCTTGGCACCAGGTTAAAATCCTTCCTGGGTTGACTCTCCTCAACCAAGCACTCAATTGTTTTTCAGTCTTTCATGGAATTAGACCTTTTACTATACTCATTTAAAGAGGATAAGTATTTACAATAATTAGTGCAAATTATTCTCTGCTCACATATTATTTGCCTACATGGATATAAAGTGGTGATCAGTATTTTATAAAAACATGGAATTATGAAAATACTGTGGGTATCAGTCTGAAATTTAAAAGATTACATTTTTAAACTAAATTCTAGGAATTTTTACTTTAAGCAGGAAACATAATTGCTATAGAACTTCTTTCTAAATGTCCCTTGATTTTCAATAAAAATTATTTCACACAATGCAGAAAATACAATGTATTTATCCTGTAACAATCTTTACATGTTAAATCCTAAATCTAAAACTTATTTGAACAACAACAAAAAACTTCCCTTTTAGTAAATTCCAAAATCTTATTTTAACCATTACTGCTCTGCAGCAATAATTCAAGTCCCAACCTGAGAACTAAGAATGTGATAATAAATGCCAAGGGCTGTAGCAATCTTGAAATGAAGACACTTAAGCTTCTTTCCCACTGGCATCAGAGAAATACGAGCAATCCAAGAAAATGCCCTGAAATCTACAGTACCACCTGCCACAATTTGAAACTTTTAAGTCTAAAACCTCTATTTTGTAAAAGTTCTATTGCACATTTAACATTGTTAAAATATTGGCAAACTTGAAAAATTCTCTATATAAGGATTTTAAACCTATTCAGTCAAAAGCTTCCTCATTGCCAGCAAAATGTTCCTAATGAAAGAGAGGGAGCATATCCATGAATATCTGAAGCTGAAGAGTAAATGATTTCTTATGGTCACAGCCAATTACAATGCCAGGTAATAAGTTCACAATTGGAACGAAGAAAAGGCTTGAGCAACTGTAATTCCTCAGCAATCTACTTCAGGGATATGAACGGGTTTCTTTCAGACATGTGGAATTTAAAGTTACTGCATAGTATATTATTTTTAAGGGGAAAAAAAAAGAATCAAAGCAAACCTAAGTTATCAAGGTCAATATTAGTTTAAAAAATGAAGTTAAACAAGCAAATACAAATTTTAGTCTCCTCCTTGATAGTTCAACATTGTTGTTACCTTGTGCCATTTTACCACAGAAATTGTCAACAAATTCCAAGGGGGGAGAAATATCAACCAAAAAGCAAGGATAAGTTTATGCTTCTGACTCTCTCTTCTTTCCTTCTTCTCCCAAATCACTCTCTTCTGACTGGCTACTGCTAAGGACAACAAACTGCCCCTCGCTACTGGCTTGGTTTGGTCTACTGGAAGCAGCTATCAACCGACTTTGTTCTTCTAAGTCCTATTGGAAAAGACAGAAAAGAAACTGAGTTAATTTTTCTGCAATCAAATGGAAAACTAAGCAGTTAAATACATACTTGAGAGCAACTTCCATACTTTTTTCATAAATATGTATGCATAATTCTGGCAACTTACTGAAAACAAAGACTACACAAACCAATGTTAACACCAAAGTATATTTTGACACCATTCTAGAAATCCTATCAAAGTCAACATTTCATCATCTGCATTTTTACGGTTAACAACTTACATTTCAGACCATTATTATCTCTCACTATAAACCAGAGAAAGTATATACAGACATACATACTTAACTGCCATTGATGAAAGCCATACATATCTCCTCTCAAAAGACCTATTTTGAGGAGACAACCTTCCAACCTTCACTGGAATATTAGTTTGCTTGCTAGATAGCAAGTCACACTAGAAGAGGGCAACAGAGGATGAGATGGTTGGATGGCATCACTAACTTAATGGACATGAGTTTGAGCAAACTCCGGGAGATAGTGAAGGACAGGGAAGCCAGGCGTGCTGCAGTCTGTGAGGTTGCAGAGAGTGGGACATGACTTAGCGACTGAACAACAAGTCACACTACATGTCAATATAACTATAATGTAAACATTGTATCACAAGACCGATGTCAGGAATTCCCTGGTGGTCCAGTGGTTGGGACTCTGCGCTCTCACAGTTGAGGGCCCGGGTCCATTCATGGTGGGGGAACTAAGATCCCACAAGCTGAGCAGTGAAGCCAAGAAGACAGATGTCATCCTTTTCTGCTATGCTGTGAATCATCGGTTTATGATGCAGCTAAGTGAATGGAAATGGAACCTTCACTTGAAAATTCCAATATGAAAGTCACAGTGCTGAATTTAGGAAACTCTTTGTAAACATTGTATCTGGTCAGAGACGATCTAGACATTAGGACTGCATACCTTCTCAATTTGTTTTTGTTTACTGAGTTCTTTCTGTTGCTTCTCTTTTACTCTCTCTATTTCTTTTTGTTTTTCTGATGCCCTGCGATCCTGAAGAATAGATGAATACAACTAATGAATTAAATATGAAATAACTAACTTTTCAATTAATATTACCTTTGTAACCTCTTCAAATTATCATTTGTATTTATATGAGAAAGCACACCAAAAATTTACATCCTAATGTTAGCCATTTATCCAAATTCTAAATGCTATATATCAGCAATAGCATCTACTATTAACTTTGTATAGCAAAATCATTTTTATTTACTTGTTAATATGAAAGATCTTATATTACTTGAGTTAATATTCTTGGAAAATTAAGTATCTTAGATTCTTACCAGTTCTGCATGCAATGCTATCTGTTTTGCCAATCCAACAGAATCACAAATCTAAAGGGGGAAAAAGTAAGAAAAACTCAGACTGTTCATACATCAAAGTGATAATTTCAAGTGTCCAAATGGCTGATGTAACTAGTTTCATTTGATTTAAGAATGTTCCAGCTCCAAAACCAAGCTTCTGTGTATTTTCTTCCGTCTGTGAGCTCCTACCACTGGCTCTCACATCTTCCAAGTCCCTCATTTCTTGTTATCTCAGATTCATCACTAAGATGGTAAAGTTGCAAAGAACAAAAGCAAGCAGCTATCCTAAGCTACTCTAAGCTGGAGACATTTGGAAATGGCTGATCATGGGAATATTTTGCATTTCCAAGACAAGCCAATGAAGCCAGAAGACTGCACCAGCTCTCAATGGCCAGGAAGACACAGGTCTGTGGAGTCAGAGAGCCGAACCCATCAGCTCAGCTCTCTTCAAAACAATAGGCTTTGGTGAAGCAACTAGTTGGACTGGACAAAGTTTGGGAGTTTTATCCAAAAATCTTAGTAAGAACTTTGACACATATTTCACAATAGAAACACATCTTGAAAAGCCATGTACCTTTTCACCCTCGTTGTTTGATTCAAATATATAACAGACTGATGACAAATTACTTTCACTTCTCCCTCCTGATGTCCGAAGAACAAATCCAAAAAGCCTCTTATTTTCCTGATGTGTAGCATACAGAACTACATTGGGTAATGGAAACTGCACAGAAAACATCAGAAGCAAACATGAGAATTTTTCAGACCATTATAACAGCGCTTCTATATATGACAAACTCATGTTATTAAATAGCATAAACAGAACATTAGAGTCAATCATTTCTCTTAACGGAAAGGTAATCCAAGAACAAACAATCTCACATTTGGTTTGGATTGTCAGGAGCATTAAAAGGTTGTTGAATACTGAATTTATTAGTCATTAACACATTTTACAAAGTCAAATTCAGTAACAAATATGGTTTCTGTTATTAAATGATTAAACAGAAGCACACGCCTGCAGCCATTTCAAAATAGATTATAAAATAAACTCAACCATGTTGGCCTTTTAATTCCTTAATTTGTTAGTTTCTTTGTTAGTCACTCAGTCGTGTCCAACTCTTTGTGACCCCATGGACTGTAGCCCACTAGGCTCCTCTGTCTCCTCTGTCTGGGATTTTCCAGGCAAGGATACTGGGGTGGGTTGCTAGTTCCTTCTCCAGGGGATCTTCCTGATCCACGGATCAAACCTGGGTCTCCCGCATTGTAGGCAGACGCTTTACTATCTGAGCTACCTTCTTTAGTGTATGCTGTATGCTCCCTAACTGATGGATAAACATAAATACTAAATATCACACCAGACTGCACTGATTCTTTCAACTACATGGAATATTACAACATTTTTTGGTGACATGGTCATAAACTCAATTATAACCATTTAAAATAATCAATCATAATTCATGCTTCCATATCCAAATATACAGAATCAGGGTTATCAGATGGAAACTGTGTGTATGTACGAAGAGCCTTAAAGCTTTAAACATGTAGAACTCACCGTGAGCCTTGTAACTTGTGTCTGTGGATCAATTAACCTATAATAATACATAAAATTTAGGGGAAAATGTTAATTATGCTAAAATTATGTAAATATTTATTCCCACAGTTTTTTGAGGGACAGGTTACTACTTACTTTAAACAATCACAAGTGACTAATAAATGTGATTCTGTCATACGAAAGATGTTATGGATGGCCCGGGCAGCTAAAATTTGGCGCATTGTTTCATAAACAACATCTGGATTGTCATCTGATTTCACCTCCATAGAACCAAGGAATCGGACAATAAACAACTGATGAAGTATAGACTCTACAACAAAACAAGGTACATTATGTAATTTTAAATCCCACATTTCTTTTCCTAGGAAATTAAATACACTGCCTTCTTTAGGTTTTCCAATGAAATATTCAATCTAGCAGAAGCACTTGGAAATAACTCCTAACTACAGTGTTCATGTTATAAGAAAAGTAAGATCTCAAATTCCAACAGCAAAAGATTATGCTTCACCAACTGGTGGTTCTGAGTTAAAAGAATTCCTTTTACTATTCTGACAGCTTTACTGTTAGTTTGAAATTATATCAAAGTAAATAAGTATGGGAAAAAGAAAAAAAAAATGCTCCAGAACCAGAAGAAAACAGCTGTTAGGAAAGGTCAGAGGATATCTTATACAATGAGAATCTGACTATGAAGTCAAAAGTATGATATTCTATAATTTTGTGTGAATAATGAAATCTTAAGTCTGAGTAAGTTCTGTTGCTTTAAGTGCACTATGAGTAAAAAGAAAAAACTGTGAAGTAAAGATACCGTTAAAACATACAGCAGAACAAATGTAAACAACAAATTCTTCTTGCAGTTTACTCCTCTGAGAATCTCTAAAATATAAGAATACTACACTTATTTTACCTTCAGTTTCAGACTTTGTACCTCCTCCAGATTCTCCAAATGGATTTGTACGCCTGAAAAGTATTTAAAAAAATTATGATCCAGTGGTCAGTCACCATGAGCCACAGGGAAGTAATCTCAATCACTGAACCCAGAGTTAAAAACTAAAAGTCAGGAAACCTTGTACACACATTTTTAAAAGCTCAAAAATACCCCTTCCTGTTAAGGAACACTACTGATGACCAACTTACTTGTGACGAAGGCCCCTGCCCTTACACTAATAGGCTGAACTCAAAGTTGCTATATTTCAGAAAATGTAGACAGATAGGATGTTTAGTCACAGACATACAAAAATCAACATCAAAATTAACCATGTTTCAAAAGTTCCTGAATTTAAATAAACTAGGACAGAGAAATGGCTGATTTAGCTTCAACTTTAGTTACATGAGAAAAATACCAGAAATTTCCTTGGATTGTGGAAAAAAACAAACCAAAAACCTTTTAGGTCCTCTAAGTACGTGATGCAAATTAACTACAATAATTTAAACATTTTCTAGTATTAGACCTGATTTCTCAAGGCACATGTAACAGAATGCAAGAACAGCTAACCAGAGATGGAAGCAACTTCCTTCCTAAGTGTGTTGGGCTCATGACACACCCACAATAAAGGAAGAAAAGTACAATCCAAAGTAGGATTTATAAGCAGAGAGCTAAGTGGTTCTAAGATAACACTGGCTTTCAGATAACATGAAATTAATCTCCCTAATATGTGTCTGACCTATTATATCAAATGCTAAGTATATTCCTATGAGCAAATGTAAATTATTCTTTCTTTGCCTCAGTCATGTATACCCAAATTACTACATTATTAATTTATTAAGTGTCCAACCTACTTAATGATTTGCCTTAAGCCATATTTCCCTCATCCATAACCAAAGAAAAATTTTAACTACTTTGACAAGGATTTATCATTATATAAATAAAGATAATTCATTAATAATTCACAGCATGACAATGTCTCAGTACCTTGCTGGAGATTTCTTATTCTAACACAATATAACATTTTCCAATAAATCTATGGCACATATATATTACTCTCATACATTAAAATATTGTCATGATATCAACTTTATTGTCACAGGACTGTCACCTTTCTTCTGTAATTTTAAGAGTAAATACCTTAGAAGTAGGTCTGATAAACCATTCAGAATTGAATATTTATAAAACTAAATTATCTGAACT